TGACCATGTGATGCAGTGTATGTCCTTGCAGTTCAGGGGCATTGGGGACTTCTTGTCATGGTTGCCTGTTGGCTTTTTCATTCATTCTTGCTGGGGTCTGTTCCTTGCCCTGCAACTGACTGTTGGTTTGAAGCCTGCATGTCACTTGCAGAAAGTCTGCAGGATGCTGAGAGCACTTAGCACAGCAATTGCAACCTGCCAGTCCTGCTTCATGTGCTAGTGGGAGCTCCCAGCAGTTTGATTCCATTGAGTTTATACCTGTGCTTTCAATAGGAGACAGTCTGATTTGAGAATGAATGTTGCCCAGGGACTTACTGATACGTAACACTGATGTGTCTTTATCACTTATTCTGCACTTGCCTAGCAGCTTGAAGGGAAAGCTTACACATGGGGAAAGATAAAGGACAATTGGAAACTCCTGAGCAGATTGAATGGATTTCTTCAAGCATGAGAAGGTTTTTGAGCTATAGTCTGAAGGTCACTGCAGGTGAAAGAAATCTCTGTTTTCATCAGTTTGCATCAAGCTGTGTGTAGACGTTGGAAGTTCCAGGGAGACTGATGTGAAAATATGAAATACTAGTGGTTTTCAGTGACTACTTTATTTTGAGCATTTCCTGCTCTTCTGAACATACCTATTTTTCAATTTCCAGAGGCAAAAGTTCTGATGTCCTCATGAGAGGACACCAGAACTGGTGTCCTCAACATAAAAATGACATGGAACTGTTGGAACAAGTCCAGAGGAGGGCCATGAGGATGATCAGGGGACTGGAGCACCTCCTGTATGAAGACAGGCTGAGAAAGTTGGGGCTGTTCAGCCTGGAGAAGAGAAGGCTGCGTGGAGCCCTCATAGCAGCCTTCCAGTATCTGAAGGGGGCCTATAGGGATGCTGGGGAGGGACTCTTCATTAGGGACTGTAGTGATAGGACAAGGGGTAATGGGTTAAAACTTAAACAGGGGAAGTTTAGGTTGCATATAAGGAGGAAATTCTTTCCTGTGAGGGTGGTGAGGCACTAGAATGGGTTGCCCAAGGAGGTTGTGAATGCTCCATCCCTAGCAGTGTTCAAGGCCAGGTTGGACGAAGCCTTGGGTGAGATGGTTTAGTGTGAGGTGTCCCTGCCCATGGCAGGGGGTTTGGAACCACTTAAGGTCCTGTCCAACCCTAACTATTCTATGATTCTAAAATTTTTCTGGATGGCCAAGCATCCTTAGCCACTTTGCTTGTAGGAAGAACAGTTTATGTTCTGTTCTTACATTTCTCTTGCAGGTCTTCCCTACTTTGAAGTAGACCTTCAAATGCTAAATTTGGGTTTCATCTTGGAGACCACTATTACTAGCATTGTTTCTTTTTCTTGGTCTGGGTTGATATGCAAACCACTGTGTTCCTATTTTATATTTCCTGTGGCCTAAAAGAAAATATTGCTGAAAGCCTTCAGGAAGAATGTCTCTATTGTGGTGTATCAGCAAAATTTTCACAAGAAATGGTCAATTATTCTGTGAAATTATTGTGTATTGTTCCTTTGCTCCAGAATTAGCTTGGTGTGTTTCTTATTGCTGCTTGAACTCCTAATTAGTGACATGATTTAAAATATTCTCTTTCCATTTTCTATTTTTTTTTATATTATTTCTGTTAGCCTGCACTGGGGAAGTGAGGAAAAATTACTTTTATTTGTAGCCATTTAATTGTACAATATGTGGATTACAATAAAAAGTGTTCCTCTGTGTGTTAAAATGACTTTGATTAAGTCTTGTAGGATATGATTAGAATTAAAATCCATTCATAATAGAAGGGAAGTCATAGTTCGTATTTTAAGTCGAGAGTTCCTAAAAATTTCTTGTCTGGAAAGGTACATTCTTAAACACTTTGGAATAATGGAGAATACCTGTCTCAACCACATAATACTGAAATAAGTACTCAATTTTTCTTTTCCTGCTTCAAAGGAGAAGTCTCTTGATCCATACCAGTACTACAGTATATCAGCAAAAGAAGAGAGGTCTTGGTTTGAAGTAGTAACGCAAGCTTTTGACTGTTAATGTAACCTGAGAAAAGAGGTGAGGTTGAGGGAAAGGCAGGGAAGGTAAAGGAAGACGTAGAGAGCAATTAGGTTTTCTTCCCTGGCATGCTGCAAAAACTACTTTTACATTCTGAGAATCTCAATATTGTATATGTAAAACTGTAAAAAGTGAAAGATACACCTCTGGTGGTGGTGGGCTGGGAGACAGGCACTGTATGCTTACTGATACATGTAGTGAGGGCACAGTGTTGTGTTTGAGCTCAGCCTGTCACTCAGAAACCATGCAGCTGTTCACTCACTCCCCCCCGCTTCCTTCCCCCACTCCCGGAGGGATGGGGAGGAGAATCAAAAGAATGCAACTCCCACGGGTTGAGATAAGAGCAGTCCAGTAACTGAGGTATAACACAAATCACTACTGCTGCCACCAATAGTAATAATGATAAGGGAAATAACAAGGGAAGAGAATACAGTTGCTCACCACCCGCCGACTGATACCCAGCACAACCTGAGCAGCGATTTAGCCCTTCCAGGTAACTGCCCCCAGTTTATATAATGGGCATGACATGCTGTGGTATGGAATACCCTTTGGTCAGTTTGGGTCAGGTGTCCTGTCTCTGCTTCCTCCCAGCTTGCCCTCCTCCCTGGCAGAGCATGAGACTGAGAAAGTCCTTGGTCAGAGTAAACATTACTGAGCAACAAATAAAACATCAGTGTTATCAGCTTTGTTCTCAGGCTGAATGTCAAGACCACAGCACCACACCAGCTATTAAGGAGAAAAATTGACTGTACTGCTGAACACAGGATACATGGCTATAACTTTTTTTTTGGGAAAATAAGAAAACTAGAAAGTAAGGCACTGGGTGGAAGGACTTGGGTCTACCTTTCTCTCCAGTACTGAGCACGTAGTGGTGGGCCATGACCTGAGTCTTCTTACTGGAGGCGAGGCAGGCTGTGGGAGCCTTTCACTCATTTTTCTGCAGGCTTGATACAGAGACTGAGAGCTTTTCAGATGTTCCTATTTTGGGGGACCCTTACTAATGCAGTATGGGGCTATATTCAATGTCCCCATTTAAAAATAAGTGCTACTGAGCACCTAAATTTGAACAGATTCTACCCTTTAAAACCTATCTATTTTTTTGTTACCAGAGCCAAGAATATTTCATAGAATCATAGAATAGTTAGGGTTGGACAGGACCTTAAGATTACGTGGTTCCAACCCCCCTGCCATGGGCAGAGACACCTTGCACTAAACCATGTCACCCAAGGCCTCGTCCAACCTGGCCTTGAACACTGCCAGGGATGGAGCATTCACAAGCTCCCTGCTGAACCCATTCCAGTGCCTCACCACCCTCACAGGAAATAACTTCCTCCTTATATCCAATCTAAACTTAACCTGTTTAAGTTTTAACCCATTACCCCTTGTCCTATCACTACAGTCCCTAATGAAGAGTCCCTCCCCAGCATCCCTATAGGCCCCCTTCAGATACTGGAAGGCTGCTATGAGGTCTCCATGCAGCCTTCTCTTCTCCGGGCTGAACAGCCCCAACTTTCTCAGCCTGTCTTCATACGGGAGATGCTCCAGTCCCCTGCTCAACCTCGTGGCCCTCCTCTTGTTCCAACAGTTGCATGTCCTTTTTATGCTGAGGACACCAGAAGTGCACACAATACTCTAGGTGAGGTCTCACAAGAGCAGAGCAGAGGGACAGGATCACCTCCTTTGAGCTGCTGGTTACACTCCTTCTGATGCAGCCCAGGATACGGTTGGCTTTCTGGGCTGCAAGCGCACACTGCCAGCTCATGTTCATTTTCTCATCAACCAGCACGCCCAAGTCCTTCTCTGCAGGGCTGCTCTGAATCTCTTCTCTGCCCAGCCTGTAGCTGTGTCTGGGATTGCTCCGACCCAGGTGTAGGACCTTGCACTTGGCATGGTTAAACTTCATGAGTTTGGCATCAGCCCACCTCACAAGCGTGTCAAGGTCCCTCTGGATGGCATTCCTTCCCTCCAGCGTATCAACCAGTGTTCCTTCTGAGTGGCTTACACACTTCCCTTAATGTTGAACAGCTGCATTAGCTGGTGTTTCAATTAGCAACTTGTGGGAACAAGCTATCCCTTCAGAAATTACGGAACTGTTGCAGTTAATTTCTTGTTTGAGCAAATCTATTTCAGCTGCTAGTCACAGCCCTGACCCTGTGCGTGTGAGATTTCCTGGGCTTTTTCTAGGGGAGTTGTTCCCTTGAAGCCAAGTCTGCTTGGAAATATTCACAAGGCCAGATGCAGATGTATTTTCTGTTTCTTTTAAAGCTTTGTCTGGAGCAGAGCGACCACAGGGAGAAGTAAAGCAAGACAAAGAGAGGAATTGGGATGGAGGCAGCAGGAACCTCCCTTGCACGCCAAGAGAACTCCCTCTATATGGGTGCCACAGAAGCTGATAAGCATGGATATTTATTTATTTATTTAATATGTTGGCATGGCTTTTCTGGGTGAAATTGATTAACCTGTTGTGTCTGTGTGCACTCGTGTAAGCATATTCTTGTCATAGTACTATTGGAGACAACCTGAGGATCTCAGGGAGTGAGAAGCAGAAAAGTGCGAGATTCTTGAGGTAGTTTGAAGAGAGCAAAGATCTTGGTGTATGAAAATACACACACATACATCTGTGAATCATTCTCTTACTTGGGCTTGGAAGACCATTGCAGGTTTCAAGCTTGCTGCTGCCAGCAAAATCCATTATCCATGAGGTGCTGAAGGGCACTGGGAAAGAATTAGAGAAGAGACGTACTTGTTGCATTCCTGTACCGTGAGGTTCTGCTCTTGTATAGCTGCCCAGCCTGGGAGTGTTGCTTCTCTTGTTGCTGGCTCTGCACCCCAGGCAGCTCCCTGCCACTGATGTGGGCTCAGACCACATCTCCACCAGGGGGCCAAGTTAAAACAACTGGGGGGGGGGGGGGGGGGGGGGGGGGGAGGAGGGAAAGAAAAGAACTTCCAAATTCCAGAAGTCTGTCCTTTATTAAGGAATTAAGGAAAACCCTAGAACAAATGCCAAGTCCCTATGATGTCAGAAAGTCTTACACATACATTAAGATTTTAGCAACTTTTTAAAATGCTTAAACAGTTCTTTGAACTTGTATCTGAATATTCAGGCCTTACTAATGAAGTGTGTGAGCATAATTGCACTAAAATAAGTGGTGGTGTAAGGAAGGTTTAAATCTGTACACAGACTTTGAACTGCACTGTTGTGGGCTTAGCTTGGTGGTGTCCCATGATGTCTTGTCCTCTGATCCCATTGATATCTGTTGAGATTTGAGATATCAAGTCTTGGGTTAATAGATGAAAAGTAGGGCTGGCAGCCTAGAGAGCAGCACAAATATCTGCAAAGCAACACAAGAGTGTTTCTAACTACAAGAAAATTGTTTATTAACTGAGTCTCCTCCATGATGGGTGAACAAGATTTGGGAAATCAGGGTATATTGCCCAAATGGGTACTGAACAACACTTTACTCGTGCATCAGGCCATGCTAGAGGCAGTAAAACCCAGATGCTTTGGAGTGGATAGTGTGCTGTGTTCCTCAGGGGGAAGGTAGAGCCATAGCTATGGAACTTTGTCTCAGGCTGTTGTAATGGTGCAGCTGCTTTCTGGTAGTTCTCTACTGTCTTTGGAGCTTTTCTGTCACTGGGTTTCAGAAGTGTTTTGCCTCTGTTTTGTTTTGAATCTTTTTCCTTCCCTTTAGGATCCATACCATACCAGTCTCTTCCATCTGCACTGTTTCCTAGTCAAGCTAATTCATCACTGGTTCACAGTGGAAACTGTCAGGTTGGTGGTTCTTATATTCTGAATAGGTTTTCTATGTCTGGCAGCATTCAAACAAAAAGGCAGGGAGAAATGACTCATCTGTTACTTAATTTACCACTTGTTTTGGGAAATCTAAATCCGAATTTGCATTTGATTCGTATTAGGGATCCATTGCTGGATTTTTTTATTTTTTTTCCCCCAGTTATTTTTGTCATGGCTGAATTTATACCCAGAATAAGCACAGTCATCAATCAGGGTAGCCTGTGTGTGACAGTGATCTCAGTTCTCCACTCAGACCAGGGAGCTCTTCAATCTGCCTAAAGTGACTGAAAGCTGGAGGCATTTGCTGCAGGATCCAAGCAACTTGGAGGCCTGTAGCAAGCCTTGCAAAGCCAGAAGTACCTTGCTGTCTTCCCTATTTTTGCTTTTCTTTAGTTATACTTAAGGTGTTAAACTTCACATAGTTTTCCATTCATTGCTTGTCATTAGCACTGTGGTAAAAACCATTGGACTGTTGTAGCAACTTGAAAGTAATACCTAGTGCTGGATGAAGTCACATGGATTTTCTAATACTCTGGGGTTTGAAATCCCTAGTGTTTTCCCAAATCATTGGGGAAACTCCCTGTGTGGTGCTCTGATGCTACTAGCTCAGGGCAGCAGTTGTAAACACGCTGAGTCTTACCCCTAGGGCTGAGCTTTCCCATCTGGTGAGCCTAGTTTTGGCTATAGCCATTATACCAGGAGTAGGGGACAGAGCTCTGCTGACTCAAAAAAACGTAGAATTCAGCATTTCTTAATAAGCTGGCAGGTGGCAGGTTAAGTGGCCTTGCTAAGCAAACAGTGAGAGAGCTGGGCCTGAACTGCATATTCCCTAGGCATCTGTATTACCCCTAACAAAAGGGGAAGGATAGGACTCTGCAGGTGAACTCCTTCCATTCTGCCTCACTACCTCAAATGTGTGAGGACGTGGAGCGGTTCTAGGTCCAATCTGTCGCACCTCTGTTACCACAAGTTGTAGAAAACACAGTGTACAGAAATATACTTCCTTCATCGCTGTTTGAGATGAAATCTATCTCTGAATGCTTTATTGCTATTCTGTTCTGTGGAAGGTGGCCAAGGTGAGCTACTGGTGCTCTTGTCACCAGTTTCTATGTTCCGGTTATTAGGAGTGATCGAATAACATGCTTTCCATTGACTTTGGGCTTTGCTTTGGGTAAGACCTTGTGAGTTTAAGGCATGTGGCCAAAACATGGCTCTTGTTTCAGTGGAACTCAGTATTGGACTACATCTCATAGGAAGCCTTATGGGTAATTGAATCCCTGGCTGCAGGCAGAGAAAAACCGAGGGAGACAGCTAAAATTGGTATCTATGAGGTTTCCTTGGACTTGATTACATATCCAACTCAGTGCTGCAGCAAGAGCCCAGGAAAGCCATGGATGTCCTCTTTGTGTGAGCCATTCTCACTGCAACCCTAACCATTGTCATCTGACAGTTCTGACCATTGTCATCTGTGGTATATGCTTGGCTGCGTTTGGCTCTCATAGCAGTAAAGGGAGAACCCAACACCCTTCTCAAGACTTAGAAGCTTCAAAACACAGAAAGGGAAAGGATCCTCATTCTAGCTTTTGTTTTTGAGAGCTAGCTGCCTCCAGTTCTGACTCTGCTTTGCAGTATATGCTTCTTGAACATGAAGTACTTACCTGTGTTTGAATCTCTCCCTCCCTCCCTGTTTGCCCAAGGGAAGAGTTGGTAAATGTTGAATTCAGTAGGAAAATTACTGTAGGGGCCTGGCTGTAGAGTTTTCCACAACTTGTGTTACAATGTGCCATGTACTTTGACAAGCCAGAGGCACACAGTGATGTTTTTGTCCTCTAGTACTTTCCCTGTACAGATGGTGAAGGTGAAAACTTTCTCCTCTGACCCAGTGCCTGAGGTAAACCGGCTGTAAATAGCTTGGGAGAACAGTCTGGGATGTGAAGAAGTAAAAAAGTGTGATTTATTCCCCCCTTTTTTTAGGGACGAAAAGAGGAGGATAACCATTACAGCCTAAATTAACTCCTTCTTGCAAACATAGTTTGAGGAAAAATTATCAGGCAAAAAATACAAGCAGTTTGTGAAAGGAGCAGTTTTCCTTATATGCTGGTACTTGCATGTTACTTAATTAAAACAGTAGGTGCTTAATGTTGCGCTTGCTTTTCCACTACTCATGGTACTTGAGGTTTTTTGGGGAGGGGGCAGTTTAGGAAGCTGAGCATGGACAATGAGGGCTTGTGTCCATAGTGAGGCTACTGGTTAAAGCCAAATAAGTACTCAAGTGGTTATAGTTATGCTGACAGAAGCCCCTACATGAACATTCTCACTCAAACTTTTCTGAAGTTTGACTTCTAATTTTTGGAAATGAGTTTACATCTGAGTGGAAAAGGCTGCCGAGTTACTGGAACAGGAGTGTCCATCTGAACGTCTGTTCCAGTTTAATTTATTAAACTTTCTTTTCTGAAAAGAGTGGCAGGAATTTTATCTTTTTGCCTTGTGACTCCACCCATCCTCCCTGGCTGTGTTGCATGGGCTTTAAGTTTGTAAATCTTGCAGGAGACCTTTTTTCTTTCAAATTGTAATGCTGTTAATCAGCTCTTGAACATGCAGTTGTCTTCTCTTTAGTGCCAATGTCATTGATGTAACCTGTCCATGTTAAGGGAAGTCTGCTGTTTAAGTCTTCTTCCCCAGTTACTGGTTGTAGGCAGTGGGTGTTGGCTTTCAGCTGAGGGTTGACTGTAGAAACTTCATCAGGTCTTGCATCTGGAATGTAAGAACCCTTAGCAATCATGCAGGCTGGGGAGCAGCTCTGATGAAAAGGCCTCAGGGGTCCTCTGAACCTATGGTTGAAAGCAACCTGAATGCGAGCCATGGTATGCCCTGGTAGAGAAGTTCAACTGCATCCTGGGCAGCATGAACAGAAGGAAAGCAGGAGACCATAGGGAGGGATTATTCCCCTTTTCTAGGCACTTGTTTGATCACATCTAGGTTTGAGCCCTCTTGGTGAAGAAAGATGTTAACAGGCATGAACAAGTCCAGCAGAGGACTGTGAAGATGATGCTGGAGAACGATGGGTAAGAATTGTGCTCCTTGCCAGCCAGCTCACGTCTCCTCTTCCTGTGGCCTTGTACTTAGTACATCTTCTTGTAGCTCCTGCTTCATCTTGACTGGGCAAATGTTTCAAACTGATCCACTCAAAAAATGTGACTTGAACCTGATGCCAGGCCAAGAAAAATGTTGATAGACTCAAACACAAGGAATAGTATTGTGCTCACCAACCTATGCAAAAAAAAAAAAAAAAAATAATTAGGCACTGCATTAGTATAAGGGCCGTGTGGACTGCTAAGCTGTGTTCTTGGTGAGCTAAATGAAGCTGAGTTAAGGTGATCTACTCTCCTCACCCTGTCAAGTGCACAGCATGCATCAGTAAGGATCAGAGGGTATAGTAACAACACTTTCTTAGGACAGGCAAGTGAGGAGAGGTGATGATGTCTCATATATGGCATGCTCCTGCCATCAGACTTGCAGGATTCGCAGAGAAGACACCTTGTCTTGTGCTGTCAGGAAGAGTTTGGGCAGACTGTAGTTGCTTTTCTGCAGGTATTGGAAGGTACTGCTTCACCTCACCTACTGTAGGCCTTTTCCAAGAGGAGTCATCACAGGACACTGCCAGTACAGTGTCTTCCATGTGATGCCATCTGACCGCCAGTTTATCGCATGAGTAATCTCATCCCATGGCCTTGCCTTCTGTACCAAACAAGACTCAAGGCTGTGTGTCTCAACCCTTCCTGACTCGTTACCCCTGGAAAAGGCAGTCAGTTTTACAGAACTGGGGAGGTGTAACATGGGTAACAGACCACATTTGGTGGTTGTGAGATCTGCAACAGAAATAGCCTTAGCATCCTGAAAATGCACAAAGAATGAACAGGGTTTGACTGGTCCATCCAGTTAGAGTTAGAGCTCTGAAGTTTTAACTGTACTCAGCTTCTTGAAGTCCTACAAACTCGTAATGGGGAATATCCTGACGTGACTCTCATGGCTTAAGGAGCTTTTGCTGCCAGTGGCAAGTCCTGCTCACATTTTTATTTGCCTGTTTTTCTTGTGCAGGGGTTGTCATTAAAGAATAAACCACTAGGTGCCTGTTTTTTTCCATTCAGTGGTACTGCAAACACCATAGCTGCAATTTTTTTATGGTGCCTAGGTGGGATGGTTCAGCTGTTGCGATAGAACAGAATGCTAGTTTTGTTTGTTCTTAACTGTGAATTGTTCTGAAACTAACAGTGATAATTGCTTTTGGGAACGGCTTGGGTTGCTTGGTTTTTCTGGGGTGGTGGTGTTTTTTTTTTTTTGTTGTTGGGTTGTTTCTTTTTTTTTTGTTTGTTAGTTTTTCTTTCTGGTTGGGTAATTTTTTGAGGCTGAAAGCTGGAAAAACAGTTTGCCAAACTGCTAGTCATAGGGCATGTTCCTTCCAGGGTGTGGCAAACTTTATTGCCTTTGAGAACTTCTGGGCTTAGAAATGCTGCTGGGTGGATAGTCTTGGAGACAGCAGTCTTTGTGCCAAAGCTTTGTCTCATCAATGTCTTCGTAAAGGTCTGCTGGGATAAATTATTAACCTTCTACATCATGCCATTACTGCCATTTTTCTTCTACTGGTTTCCCTGCAGGTAGATCTAGGGGTTCCTCCAGGCTCCCATTCATGTGTCTCACTTTTCTCTGGATGGTGTTAGCTGTTGGGGTCTGCTGGGGTGAATTTGATCAAGGGCATGATGCCTTACCAGAAGCAGGATGGAGAACATCAGGTGTGGGGGGGTCTGAAATGAATATTGAGAAATTCTTTCCCTAGGCAGCTAATAGCTCAGAGCAAGATGAGGTAGTAGCAGTCTTCGGTGTGCTGTGCTCTTTCCTTAGGATAGTGGTGTGTTCATGCGGTAAAACTTGTGAGGTCTGACCTGGTAGGAACTGGAGATAAAGACCAGAAGCTTCCTTCAGTCCCTCGGCTTGCTTGGGGAAGTAAAGAAGGTTTAGCTATTGAGAGTAGCTAGCTTTTGAGGGCGGAGTGGCAATATCTCAACCACTTGTCTTTCAACTTCGAGGTTTCTTCTGCTAGTTAAAATTTTGGATTCTGTGAAGCAACTCTGAGCAATTGAGGAAACAGCCTTCATGTTAATAATTTTCTCTGAAGTTGAATACGCTGGAGGGAAGGAATGCCATCTAGAGGGACCTTGACATGCTTGTGAGGTGGGCTGATGCCAACCTCATGAACTTAAACCATGACAAGTACAAGGTCCTACACCTGGGTCGGAGCAATTCCAGGCACAGCTACAGGCTGGGCAGAGAAGAGATTCAGAGCAGCCCTGCGGAGAAGGACTTGGGGATGCTGGTAGATGAGAAAATAAGCATGAGCCAGCAGTGTGCGCTTGGAGCCCAGAAAGCCAACCGTATCCTGGGCTGCATCAAAAGGAGCGTGACCAGCAGGTCGAAGGAGGTGATCCTGCCCCTCTGCTCTTGTGAGACCTCACCTGGAGTATTGTGTGCAGTTCTGGTGTCCTCAGCATAAAAAGGACATGCAACTGTGGGAAGAAGTCCAGAGGAGGGCCACGAGGATGATCAGGGGACTGGAGCACCTCCCATATGAAGACAGGCTGAGAAAGTTGGGGCTGTTCAGCCTGGAGAAGAGAAGGCTGCGTGGAGACGTCATAGCAGCCTTCCAGTATCTGAAGGGGGCCTATAGGGATGCTGGGGAGGGACTTTTCATTAGGGACTGTAGTGATAGGACAAGGGGTAATGGGTTAAAACTTAAACAGGGGAAGTTTAGATTGGATATGAGGAAGAAATTCTTTCCTGTTAGGGTGGTGAGGCACTGGAATAGGTTTTCCGGGGAGGTTGTGAATGCTCCATCCCTGGCAGTGTTCAAGGCCAGGTTGGACGAGGCCTTGGGTGACATGGTTTAGTGCAAGGTGTCTCTGCCCATGGCAGGGGGGTTGGAACTTGATGATCTTAAGGTCCTTTCCAACCCTAACTATTCTATGCTTCTATGGTGTGTGTGTGGGGGGTTGTTTGGTTGTTTGTTTGTTTGTTTGTTTGTGTGTTGTTTTTCTTTTGTTTTTTGTTGGTTGGTTTTGTGTGTTTTTGTCAAGAAAATTCTGTTTTATTTGTGAGTGTTGGGTTTCCATTGCACATCTGGGCAAACAGCTTTCTACAGTTACATTTTTGGGCTTGTATGTGCACAGAGCTGAATGGAGAAAAATCTGGCTGAGACAAGGTAGCAGCCAGCATAAAGCCAGGGCTAATTTAACATGCTTGCAGTTGAAGCTTCCCGTTTCCCTCCCTGGACTGTAGCAAACCCCTACACATGTTCCCACTGGTCTTATGTGGGGTTAGAAGGACTGGCATGACATTTGCTGAGAGAAACGGGACCTCACTGGAAATTGTGTGTTTACTTTAAGGGTTTGCGGGATGCTCAAGACTAGCCTGGACCTGGCAATGAGTATGGTGTAAGATTGACTCTGACAGTCTTCAGGGTGGCCATCATCATCTTCACCTGATTTGTGTGACACCTAATTTCAGTATGGTCCCATTGTATAGCAGGAACTTCTTCATGCCACTGCAACTCCAGTGATGATCATGCACATTAAGCCATTTTCACAGTTCTCTGGTATTTTAGGAATTTTGGAGCCATTGTTTAGTGACTGTGCAGCTGGAGTGTGGCAGGAAAGTGGAACGAAACTAGTGAAATGCACAGCGGCTGTGAGAGGCTCAAGCAAGTGTGCTAAAATATGGGTTAAGTGGATGAGCTGTGATCCATAAAATGGAGCAAGTTTGACTTAGTCTGTTCTACGAAGTCAGCGCTATTATTGTTTTAGTCTAAACACTGTAAACTAGATCTATTATTCAGTCTGACCCACGGTCTTGGTCAGAATCAAACCCTGAAGATACAGCTAAACCCAGCCTTGCTCTGTCATAGCTGAGCAGTTAAAAACAAAGAAATCAGCCTCTATTCAATTGCTGAACTTCCATTATTTGTGGTTTTAATAAGCAGGAATAAATACTCAACAAATAAGCTTCCTGTTCTTAAATGATTGTGTTCTTCTGTTTATTCATAAACTTGAAATTAAATTATTGATTTTTTAAAATTATTTTTAATTTAAAGCAGGCTAAACCTCATGGGAAGTATGTCTTCTGGATGCATGAACTAGAAATGGTTCATGCCCTGATTCTCATCTGGAGGATCATATGATGGCTTAGGGTAGAGGTGTTATCCTGGAATAGCTCAGAGTAGCTCAAGGGTTTGGGATGTGCCCCCTCTCTCCCTTTTGTGTGCTCTCCCCTAACTACAGGTACCTCAGGTTTTAAGTAGGGTGGAAGATGCTATGGGGAGTGCTTTGGGGTCTCTGGAGCTGGAGGTCAAAATAGGCAATTTATAGTAGTTGATGCATATCCTTCCAGCGCCCTCCATTTAGGGACATGTTTCACACCACCTTTGCTAGCTCTCCATGGGGCCTTTTGAAAGTATTTATACTCCCAGAGGAATATAAAGGGGTTGTAAATTCTCAGTGGAGCTTGCCAAGCTGTAGCTGCACAAGCTGTGTCCTACCACAGGGCTGTGCTTTTCAGCTGGCTGGCCAGGAAAAATGAGCAGCCTTTTCACCTGGGGGAGTTTGCTGTGGGAGCTGCCATGACCACATGAGTGGCCAGGTATTGGATGTACGTAGTCCTGATCCCAAGGAAACCCATGCTGGAAAGGAGCATCTGGGATGTGATTTGGCTTGTTCACCCTCTACCCCAAAGGCTTGAGGGTCACAGGCAGAGATTGTGGCTCCTTTGGGAGCTTTTCCACATGATTACTGCAGAAACATGGATCTGTGCTCTCTGTTCCAGTTTATGCAGATATACTATTCAATTCCAAGGGAAAACCATTCTTCAGATGCTGCTTTCGAGGAGCATGGCAGATGCCAGAGAGGAAGCAGGCAGGTTTCTCTCACCCCACTGTTTGAGACTGGGTGCTGCTGCAGTGTTTTAACATCTGCAAAGCTATGTTTTCACAGACTTGTAACCTCTGCGTCAGGAAACAGTAAGAAAGCAACTGCTTCTCTGAGCCTCAGCCTTGCTGCTTGCTGGCTGTAGCAGGGTGGGGGGAAGGAAGTCTGATGCTGATCCTGGTATGTTGGGCATACCTGCTCATAGCTTGGCTACACACAGGACAGTTGTGAGGGGCTATTCTAATTGCAGGTTGCAAACTGAAGGCAGGTGGCTTTCAAGGCCTTGGCTCTAATTATCCATGCTGTAGAGCATCAAGTGATGTGTTCCTTCCCTGTGCTAGCGGGGGTTCCTCTCAGTGTCTTAACAGAGTCCCCCATCCTGGCATGAGTGATTCCCAGGCATAGGGCGAGGCGATAGTGAACATGTGCTCTCAGCCAGGCTGTGCAGCTTAAATAGTGGGCTTGCAGGATGAAACAGGAAGCAGAGCAAAATCCGGTGCTTCTAGAGATAGAAAGTCTGTGGTTAGTTTACCTTGGGCCATGCATCTTGAGGTGGCCAGTCTTGTCTTTTCCAGTGAAGGAACTGAACAAAGAGTTCAGTCCTGCATCTGCATTACGATAAAGCTGCTGTGATTCCTGTGAGGCTGGAGATGACCAAGAGCACTGTCCAGGCAAGCCTGTGTTAAGGAAGTGCTCTGTCTCTGTGGGGAAGCAGGGCTCTGCTGTGTGCCTTAGCAAGGACTTACACAACTGTGGAGCTGCCCCAAGTTCTGCCAGGATTTGGATGTGCTTGTAAGAAATGGGTTCTGCCTCTGACTCATTTACCAGCTGGAAAAGGTCAAAGGACTTTAATCTTGGGTTAACAGGCTTCCTCTGTGCTCTTGTTTCCCCAGGGTGGCCACTGACCACAATGTTGATAACACCACAGCAATCCTCAGAGAGTGGCTGAAGAATGTGCAGAACCTTTACCATGATGTGGAGTGGAGGCCAGTGGAAGACCCCCAGTGAGTACTGCAGTGAGGGGCTGACTAAAGCTGTTTGGTGTACATCTCAAATTTTCTAGGTTTTCTGTTTTCAAACTAGGAGATGTACTAAATGTCCAAGCATTGAAATGTGGTGGGTTTTTTGGTACACGGGTTTGTTTTGGGTTGTTTGGTTTTGGGGTTTTTTTGCTTTGTTGGGGTTTTTTGGTTGTGTTTTTGTGAGCCTGCCCCATTCAAATTGCATTCTTATGGAGTCCATAGAAAGGTTTCTAACTTCAGTGGAGCAACTCATGCAGAACTTCAGGGAAGAAAGCATTTTCCATTCAGTTTAGTATCTGCAGCTGCTGTCTTTGCATGGTAAACAGATAGCAGGTACAGGGAATAAAAGTGGTTGTATTTATTTGCAAAGGAGCAGAGAAATCACAGCCCATTCCCATAGTGTCTGTGAAAGTTCTGAAATGCATCAAATATTCAGTAAGTTCTCAGGAGAGAACTAGATTTAATTCAGTATTGCATGAATTGCAGCATCATTGCTTTGAAATATGACATTAGGTGTATTGGACTTTTATTGCTTTGGTTTGTCTATTTATTTGTTTTCCTCAAGATCAGCTGTTGCTGGTTTTTCTTTCTCTTCTATTTCTTCTATCAGAGATTATGTCAGTTTCCTCTTTCTTTAGGCTTGTTTGGTTTTTGTTGTTGCTTTTCAAAGTCCTCCGTGCAGTGATGGAACATGTGTGGTACAAACCCACAGGGAATGCTTGTTTTATTGACTTTTTTGAATCCTGTCATTGCAATTGAGTTTGCTTAATCCTGTCAAACTTGGCTTTTTTAAGTACTGTAGAATTTTTTAAATTCTTAGTTCCTTCACTGGCTTATGCTGGCACTGTTTCAAAGTCCAGAATTTTTATTCCACATAGGGATCTGTCCCTAAGTTTCAATCCACCTTTGTTACAAAGCGTTTGCTTTTGGACCGGATTCTGAAAACAGACATGTTCATAACTTCAGTCGCATGATTGGTCCTGTTGTGTTGGGTGTTTGTAGATTTAAGAGCTGTTACTGGGATCTGTTAACAGTACTAATAATGCCTGGGCCCTAAGGGAATCCAAATAGCCTTTATCTTCACATCCTCAGCTTGTTGATTCTACCGGAGGTAAGGAAGCTGCATTTACCTTCTTAAACTGAAAGCCTAGCAGTGGACAGCTGACTTTCTGCCAGAGGGTTAGATGAGGTGAATCAATTTCAGTTCATTTTGATGAGGTAACCTCTGCTTATGCCAGGTGAGGGGCTGCTGGTGCAGAAGAAACTCCTGGTTTTGACAGTGCTTGTGGTTGCTTAGTTGGCAGGAAATGCTGCTGCACTGCTTGTTCTCTGGTGCCCTGCGTACACATGCCAGCAAGAAACTTGGAATCATTCTCTCTCAGAACCTCTCCTGGGTTGCCTGAGGTGACTAACACTGTTTTCCTTTTGGAAAGAAGGCAGCAAGGGAACTATTTTTGTTTGGTTGGTTGGGTGGGTTTTGTTTGTTTTTGTTTTTGGTTTTTTTTTTACTAGTGTAATAGGGCCCAAACATGGTTTGCAGTCCCTTTTCCTTTTTTTTTTTTTTTTTGACAGCTCTTACCCAGAAGAAATGGGGCCAAAACATTGGCCAAGCTCCAGATTCACTCATGTGATGAAACTCCGACAGGCTGCCCTGCGTGCTGCACGAGAAAAGTGGTCAGACTACATCCTGGTAAATACAAGGTTGATTTATTAACTGACCTCAGGCAAAAGCTTTTCAGGTAGTCACTTTGATACTTGGGGCTGTCAAAATTTTCCCTTCCATCTAATGATAAAGCTCTCTGCAATGAGATGCTCTGTGTTATTTTTTTGTTTGATGAGCAAGGGATTTTGCAGCTGGGGAGGCAAGTCCCTGGGTAAGCTCAAGGCTTTCTCCAAAGGTGTCAGGATTGAATATAGTCCTGGTCATAAGTAGGTACCTGCAAGGGAGCCCCAGATTGAAACTCCACTTATTATTGATGAAATACAAGGGAAATAGTTCTGCAAAAAAGTTCTGGGAAGATGCATGCCTTTGGTCACTACAGCAGCAGTTAATGGTGGTGTTGCCACCTGAACAAGGCAAGAATGAGGCCTGTTTTTAAGAATTCTTGTGATCCTCTTTACAGAATAAGCTTGTCCTGAATTTTCAGCAGTGTTTTTTTTTTCCCCTTCCATCTCCCTTTCCCCCATGCTGGAGTAACATTGTGAAGAGTCAGAGGGAAACTCCACCTTATCTCATAGCTTTCTGGTAGGCAGCAGCCACTCATGGGCTTACCTGCAACAGTGCCCTGTAGCATCAAAACCACCAGCTCAAGTTCTTTTTGGCTTTTTTTTTGCTGGGGGGCGGGTTGCCAGGCTCTTGCCTCTGGCTGGTTTTTTTTTGCCTGTGGGTTGTTGTTTTTTTCAATCTCTTACCAAGAAGCTGTCAGGGGAAGCATATAATTTAATCTAATAACAGACTTCCTTTTCTCTTCTCTTCCCCTCTTGCTTCTTTAGTTTATTGATGCAGATAATTTACTGACCAACCCTCAAACCTTGAACCTGATGATAGCAGAAAACAAGACGTTGGTGGCACCAATGCTTGAATCTCGCTCCCTCTACTCTAACTTCTGGGGTGGCATCACGCCACAGGCAAGTGACCTCATGAGCGGTGCTGGGTGACTGTGCAAGCTATGTGTTCAAAGGCCTCCTGCCTTGTGTCTGTGATACAGTGGGCATTGGTTCTGTTCTATGGGCTTTGCCATCTGCTTTTTAGTGTCCTTCTGGAAAGAAACTGCTGTAGCTCTGAGACATGCAGAGGTGGTGTTAGCATATAGTGAGGATAGTGGTGTCATGCAGTCATCTCACCTTGTGCCTCCTGCTGGTGGCATCCCAAACCTTGGGTGAGTACCTTTGGGAAAAGCCTATACGTTTATAGGGTATCTGAGAATAAGAGTAGAGAGGACATTTCAGCCTGTGAATCTTTTTTGTTTTCTAACTGATCTGTATGTATCAGCAAAGGGAATACATGTTCTGTATCGGATGTGCAGGCGCATAGCTGAAACTTGCTTTCTTATCTGAGATTCCTCATGTGAAAAAGCTGAATCTGGAGGAAGCAGAGCTTGTTTAGCCAAAAGTTCTGGGAAGTGATACAATCCCATTAACTATATGAAAGATACTCATATACCCACCAGAATTTGAGTTGTTTCCATATGTTTGTGTAATGGCCTTAAAACTCTTGGTATGTAATTTTAGAACAGCTTTTCCTTATAGTGATGCTAATATAAGATGAATTTGCTTTTCTCTCTGTAGCTCTCCATTATGGATAGGTAATTTTTCTCACATATGAACAAGATTTATGTAGTGGGGCAGCACCCTTTGCTTTGTCAGGAGTGTGTGCTCTGAATTGTGTATGTAAAGGGTACTGCTGTAAAGGACAGAAGTGCTGAGCCTAGAAATTTAATGTTACTTTCTCACATCACATATATTGCAGTAAGTATTAGATACAAAAATATTGTGTAGTAGAAATAGAATTATTTTTAGAGCCAGAATGAGATTGAGCTATTGCTTTACAAATTGTTCCACATTACTGTGGTGTGTTGACCCTGGCTGGTAGGTAAGTCCCCACCAAGTTGCTTGCTCCCACCTGGTGAGATGGGGAAGCAAACTGGAATGGCAAAAACAGGAAGGGAAAAAACCAAGACCAAGCCCAAAAGTAGCCCTCAGTGGCTGAGGTGGGTTAATAAGTGAATAGGGGAAGAAAAGCCTCAAACAAACAAGTGATGCAAAACCAGTCACTATCACCAGATGGATGCCCAGCCATTCCCCCAGCACCAGTTTCTTTGGATCCCAAACACCCTCCCCTCTCTGTCCCCCCCCCCATGTCAGTGTTATTGCTGAACGTGATGTTACAGAGCACAGAAAATAACTGGTCACTTTGGGTCAGCTGTGCCAGCTGTCTCCTCCCAGCCTCTTGCTATGGGGGTGAGTGTGAGCAAGTGGGAAACAGAGAAGGCCTAGTGCTGTGGAAACTCTATTCAGCAGCAGCTAAAGCATCGGCATGTTATTAAATACTGCTTTGGTCACCAGTCTAAAACACAGCACTGTGTGGGCTCCTAGGAAGAAAATTAACTGTATCCCAACCAAACCCATTACAATCGCCTTGTCCATAAAAAGATTTCAGCAGCAAGATCCAAGGTATAGAAGGGCAGATCTATTGTCACAGTAATTTTTTGCTCCTTTTCATTCTTGACCTTTGAAGTGTTCTTAACTAAGCTCTAGATGGACTTTACAAGACATTCAAGCCGAAATGGGGACTGTAGTTAATGCTTTTCTTTTATCCCAGCTAAGCCTCAATAATGAGATCAGCTTTTTGACCTGTTGGCCAGTCTGCTCCTGGCATGTGTTTTGGCATCCTTTGAGGAAGTGGGTTCCTAATCTGCATGTGTCCTAGAATAGCAAGCAGGCTTTTGTTCTCTTGAAAATTTTCCCTTTTTGCCCACATTGGCCCTGCAAAGCTTCAGGAGTTCCTTTTTACACCCAAGCCTGAGTCTTGTGTTTCCTTGTTCATAAAGACAGGCTTGCCCTACTGCTTAGACAAGTGAGTTCAAGCCTGAGCTGCACATAGATCTTGAGCCCTCCCTGAGTCATGTGAGTAGGAGTACTTTAGAGAGGCTTCATTGTCCAGCTGTTCCCTACCCTCTTGCTTTATTCTAGAGAGCTAACCAGATACTAATTGTTGTCATCATCACTGGAGTGAAAGAAGAAGCAAGCTTCATTCCCCCTTTCTTCTATTTACCTGGCATTAAAAAAAAAATTAAATCATTCTTCCTTCCCAGCGTTATCAAGGACACAACTAGCAACCACACGTAGGGTGAAAATATGACAGTTGTACTGGGTCAGACCAAAGGTCCATCTGTTAGCAGCAGTTCCTAGCAGATTCCTAAGGAACAGTATAAGAACATAACAAACAAGTGAATGATACTTTCCCAAAATATTTTTCCATCCTCTGGGAATCTCCTTTATGAGCTCTTGAGGAAGGTCTATGTCTTTAAAGCCCTCAGTGATTTTTATTTTATTTTTTTTTTACTTTCTCTTTTTTTGTGTGTGTGTTTTCTTTTTTTGGTACCCACACCATCTTATGGCAAGGAGTTCCACTGTTCAGACTAGCTAAAAATAGCGGGAATAGTCCCTGAACTTTCCAGATTCTTGGAAGTAAATATATAGGAAAGGGGGGTGTTTACTTGTTTCAGTTTTTGTTTTGAAGCGGAGATATAAATTTCATAGCAAAGGCATTGTCCTTTAAGTTTTTAAGGTTAAGTCCTCAGACAGCCAGATTTTCCACTGATATAAATCAGCACTGCTCCACAGGCTGAAGTAGATTCTGCCTGTGTGCACCAGCCTCAGCCCTGGCCCCCGTGTTAGCTATTTTCCATCATTTCCAGGATTAACTGACAAAAGGAGAGTGGGGAACATAGTAGCAAATGCATCTTGCTGAATTCTGAGTGAAAAGCTTTTCAAATGAAAGTTCCCACTTGATTTTTTTATGCTTAGTTGCTGCTTCTTGTTTCTGTGCTTGCAGCCCCACAGCTTCATGCTGTCAGCCTTGCTCTCCCTGGGAACTTGATGACGGGGGTAACAGCTGGAGCATGCCCTGAAACGCAGCCTCTGGCACTGAGAAACAAAACAACTCCCCACTGTTTGACATATAGTTGTCATGAAGCTAACCTTAGGAGAGCACAGCAGCAGTGCTGACAAGTTGGAGTCTTTCTTGACTACACAGGATTTATGAGCAGTGAAAATCCCCCAAATCCCTTAGTGAGTGTCTGGAGGAGGTAAGATTGATTTCCAGCATATTTCACCTGTGGGCATTCTTGGATGTCTGTTAAAGGTTGAACATCTTAACCCCTCCTTCAGTAGGAATGTTAGTAAGATCTCTGCCTACTCGCTCCTTTTCATGAAAATCAGACCAGCTGTGTTTGAGATACCAAGTCCTCACAGTATGGTGAGAAAGCATGTGAAGAGCAGAGGGGAGGATTGACAGATACACGATCACACAAATGCATCATACCATGTTTCTACACAAAACCAGGGTAAAGTGGTTCTGCAGTGATTTGCTTAGCTGTTGTAGGATGCTCATGGAAAATACGATGCAAAAGTAACTCACTTTAGTGACCCATCATTTCTGTAAAACCCAGAAAGCTCTGGATCCAACCAGATGTCAAATTGGTCTGTTAGGATTTTCTTTCTGGAGTATTTCAATGTATTTATTTCCAAATGTGGTAGCTTTAGACATACTGTACCTGCAAAACCAGCTGGGAGCCACACAGTGTAAGTACTGGAAGTCTAGCAAAGAACATGGCTACAGAGAAATGTGCTGACTGAAGTGCCTCCCCCAGACAGAGTGTGTGGGGAGAGCTCAGATGTATTAAACCTGCTTGCCCTGGGGTGGAGGAAGTGGGAATTCTTATACAGCTGATGGAGACTGAGATGATGCCTTTGCTGCAGTGAAGCAAATAATCTGCAGGTCCTATTCTGTGAGACACTGAATGAATGTCTTCTGCGCCTGTTGAATATGGAGGATGTCATGGATACTCAGCAGCTTCCAGGATCAGACCTGAGATGTATATGCAAAAAAGTTATTTGAAGAGCCAGGAGAAAATAGTCCAAAGTTTGAAGCACTATTGCAAGGGAATTTTGCAATGGAAAGGCCTGGATTTCCAATAGCTATTAAAAAGGAAAGAGAAGGTCAAGCTTAAACATTTGGGATGGAAATTGTTTCTAAATACTTGACTGAGCCCTTTCCAAATGGGAGATACTTAAAAATCTGAGAATTAAGCTGATCAGTCTCTGCTGAGGGAGGGCTAAGGGTGAGAGCTTTTGCTAAGGAGCTCATCTATGAAACAGAAATCTCTTGTAACAAGCTGTCCCCTTGTTGTGATTTCAGGGCTATTACAAAAGAACCCTGGATTATCCCCTGATACGGGAATGGAAGAGGACAGGCTGTTTTGCTGTCCCAATGATTCATTCCACATTCCTCATTGACTTGAGGAAAGAGGCCTGCACCAAGCTGATGTTCTACCCCCCCCACCAGGACTACACCTGGAGCTTTGATGATATCATGGTCTTTGCCTTCTCCAGTCGCCAAGCAGGTATGTCTGGAGCCTTTGCTTTGGAGGATTCACTTGTAGAGGCATGCAGACCTCTACATTGAATTCACAGGCTAGAAGTCCTGTGTGACTTCAGTAGTGAGTTAAGACCCTGTTCTCTTTTCTGTTGTGGACCTGGTCAGGGATAGGCAGCAGAACAGGACTGGTGATGGACTTTTTATTCACAGAGAGCTTCAAAGGAAATAGGAGCTGTTCTTGGGATAGGGGTAGTGTTTCAGAGACAAAATTTGTGGCATCCACCCTTAATTTGTGTCACAGCAATAGAGTGTTGAACAAAGGTGAATACTGTGAGTATTCTGAAGACTGAAGGTAAGGTATTTTAAGTCACCACTTCTAGGAAATCCATGAGGAAGGGGTGAAGGCCAGAGACTCTTTAAATGTAGCAGCCTTTGTGGAAAACAAAGCCCAAGATGATCATCCGCAGTGTTTATGAGGTTTTGCTTCATGGCAGCTCAGCAAGAATTGTCTGAGGGAGGTGGGTTTTGGTTTGGGGTTTTGTGGGGTTTTTAGTTTGGTTGGTTCGGTTTTCTCAAAAGCAGCATCTCAAAAGTGCGACTTTTAGGGGAACAATGTGGAGCCTGTGGGCTGTGCTGAGAGGAAATCTCTTGCAGGCAAAAGTGGGTCAGAGCTGGTGTGTGAGCATTAAAATCACTGCATGATTGCCATTGTATTATTGGTACTTTGGGAGAACCAGGTGAGCAGTGTGCTGCCTTGAGACCCTTGGGGCATAGCAGAGAGAAAATCGGTGCTGCTTTGGCTGATACCATAATTGGTTTCTCCGTGGCCATGGGAGGATTTCTGTTAGATGTGAAATAGAGGGGTCCGTTCAGGCCAAGTCACAACCTCAGTGTCCTCTTTCCTTCTCTGGAATGGCTGTTGGTGTTTGCTGAGAGCTCCAGCTGTCTCTGAGAAATCACTGTCAAAACTTTAAGGGCTGACCTTGCTGTACTTCTGGTGATGATGTTCAGTCCCATTTATTATTGGAGAATGTATCTGCTGGGTATTGTATCTCCTGTGAAGCCCTGGCTGGCAGACCTGCATATAGCAGTGTCAGAGCTGAAAGGAGCTCCTGGGAAGGATATGGTTGTAATGGCCATCTATATTGTTCTTTGCCCTGCTGTGTTGAAAAAGTGAAAGTTTGCGGCCTTATAAGGCAAAAGGGACTGATGAAAGCTCACTGGCACCAATGAAATGCACTTCTGTTCAGAGCTTCATGAGTGGTTTTCTGACTTACTGAAGTGAAGTAGTGGAGAAAAATGGCTTGTGGGTCCTCCGAGTGATGCGCATTTAGCGTTACCTGTGCTGTTCGTAAAGGAGGCAAAGTTAAGGTGAGCAAGAAGGGCTGTCCTTCAGGCAAACAGAGAGGAAGTGCAGCAGTACAGCTAGTTGGATTTGGCAGTTACCCCTGCAGAAGAGATGGGCTGAGAAAACTGCCTTTCCCACCATTTCCAGACCAGCACAGCAGACACCAGATTTCTGTAGCTTTCCTTTTAGGGATGTTTCTGGTGTGAAGTTCTTGGCAGTACTGAAAAAGATGGCATTGTCTTGGCAGACTAAGCAAGGCATTTTAAAACTCAGCTATGAGAGCATGAGAGGCATCAAATCAGAGAGACAAATGGCAGAGGCAGCAAGAGCTGAAACTGGAGCCTTGGGAGGCAGAGGTGAGATGGGGTCCTGACTTTCATGGTCAGGACACAGAAATATTGGCTCCAGAGGAGAACTGAAGTTCAAGCCTGGCTAGCAAAGCAGGATCCCTCCAATCTACTTGCTCCACTTGTTCCCTCTGACAGCTCTCCCATAAACGCAGCATCCAGTGAGTGTGGTAACTGCACTGCTTTAGCTCCATCTGTGTAAGAAATACATTAGGGATTGAAATCCATCATTTTTCCCTTCCATCCTGGAGCACTTTAGCTTTTTCCAGGACTGAACCATGACATCAAAGGCTTTGCTTCAACACCCTGGCCCACTGATCTGCTCAGATTGTTGTCCTGGGCTGAGTTTTGTCACCCAGGATAAAAGGATGACATCAAGTTGAGAAATGGGAAGACGCCTCAGATCAAACCATGGATTTTCCACAGTGGATCTACTGCTCAAAGCAACTGTTTTGTGATGCTCTGAAGAGACCATCCCACCTCTGCTGGGAGGATGTGGCCTGTGGTGGGAGTGCTGATTCAGACCAAAATCTCAGTGTGCCTGGGCTCTGTAGGGCCCCTTGCACTCCTATGCAAGATAGCATTTAGATGCCAGCCAGATGTCCTGAGCTTCCTTTCAGCCTGAGGCTCTGAAGAACTGGAGCCAGCCAGCAGGAAGGTCTGCTCACAGGGCCCCGGGGGAAATAGAAGGTGCCTAAACGTGGCTGTGGGTTTAGGGCGTAGCTGTGAATGCTGGTCACTGCCTGACAAAGGCTGGTCATTAGACAACTGTGTATACCTTTTCTGTCCCTGGTAGCAATCCTTGACTTGATTAGAGAAAGAGAGCCCAAGAACAAGTCCACCTCCCCATTTTAAGGTAGTTTTATCATTCTAAAGCAGCTTTTATCCCAGAAGGAAAGGAAATACTGGCGTGAATCTGTACAGATCAACTGTGTTTTAAGCCAGCAGAGGATAAGAACAGAGCTCAGTGAGCCAGATTAGTTGATGAAATCGGTGCCAAATCCAAGAATGTCAGCAGGCAGTATTTTTTATTATGCCATCTACCTAAACTGCCTTCACTCTGAACTTTGAAACCCCTATGTTCCCCCTACCTTTGAGCCCCATATATAAAATCATAGGCTGATTTGTGTTGCAAGGTACCTTAAAGATCCATCTAGTTGCAACCCCCTTGGCACGGGCAAGGACACCTTCCACTACGTCAGGTTGCTCAAAGCCCTGTCCAACCTGGCCTTAAACACTTCCAGGGATGCGGCAGCCACAGCTTCCCTGGGCAACCTGTGGCGGTATCTCACCCCCCTCATAGTGAAGAACTTATTCCTAATGTCTAAATCTCTTTTCTTTCATGTTAACACTATTCCCCTTGTCCTGTCACATTCCACCCCCCATCCCCTGTTTGGAGGCCGTTGCTGGGTCTCCCTGAGCTCTCCCTGAGCAGGGAGAGAGGCCCCATGTCCTAGGATTGCTGCTGCATCTCCTTCATCATAGCTGCAGGTGGAAGCCCATTGCATCACTTGAGGCTGGCTTACTCAAGAGGCTGAAAACCTGTTGCTGCTTTTGGCTCTGGGTTTATGAAGGGATTGTCAGGTGAGGTGCCAGGTCTGAGCAGTGCAGGTGGGGTTTTGGGGATGAGGGTTCCTGTGGTACTCCCCAGGTACCCGCAGGAGTCCTGCTGTATGTGCCTGTGTATCAGACACTGCTTTTGCTAACGGGCAGTTATGCCTCTGCTGTATGATTGTTTCTATAGCATGAAGGCAAAGGCTGAAAAAGACCCTGTATCTGTTCTAAGAGGAGGGTTTCCAGTCTCTCCTAGAGGAAAACTGATTGCACGGTAAAAATACCTGCTGCTAGGGAGCAAGTAAAAATTGATTTCATAGGAGAGGTCACTTGCTGCTGGCCGAATGAGCCAGAAAATAGCACTGTGGTGCTTTTGATTAATTGCTTACGAAGCAGATCTTCTTGCAACTGAGGTGCCGGTAAAGGTCTGATTCTAATTTCCTTTTTTGTATGATCCCCAGGAATACAGATGTTCATCTGCAACCGTGAACACTATGGTTTCCTTCCCATGCCCCTGAAATCACAGCAGACACTGCAAGAAGAAACTGAGAACTTTGTGCACACGCTAATCGAGGCTATGAGTAAGTTGCTGTACCCTGCCATGATGGACACCCCAGATGCCAGCCCTCACTCCCATTACTCCCAGTTGATGTTTGTGGAGCTCTCTTGCCAGCAGCCCAACTTTCTTCCCCTTGGGAGCCTGCATCCTGATCTGATTGTTCTCATGTTGTTTTGATACGTGGTTTTCCATTTTCTCCCCGGGGATGTAATCACTTCACAGTCAGGTCAACCCCATTCACAAAATCCCTCAACTTCCCCAGCTCAAAAGCAAAGATGCATCTTTAATGTGGAGCAGATGCTGCAGGACCCATTTTTTTTTTTTTTCCACGATGTCTGTCTGGCACATGGCTGCTGGCTTCTGCTTTGCACCATGGATGCTTTCTGCTGTACCTGCTCCTGGCCTGACTTCACATCCTGGCTCCTTGGGGCTTTTGGACCAGTGATGAAAACACATGGTGATACCTTATATTGATGCAACATGTATGTGAAGGTGATGCTTGCAATCTCTCCTCTCTTTCAGTTGATCGTCCTCCCATTGAACCCTCTCAGTATGTCTCTGTTCCTCCAAAGCACCCTGACAAGATGGGATTTGATGAAGTAAGGAACTTACTTTACTGTTACCATCTTCCCATTCATCACCTGGAGGACCTGGGTTCTCCCTGCTGCTGAGCTTCTAGCCATTTCCCTCAGAGTATATTATCTTTTCACGTAGTTAGCTCTTCCCTGATCACTCCTCTTTTGGCCTTAAATATTTTGCAAGGAGAAAATAGCCATTTTTTATTTGGGGAGAAGTGCTGAGCTCAGGGGAGCAGAACAGAAAGGGCTCAGGATGTGCGCTTTCCCTCTGGTGTTTGCTCTAGAGACACAAGGCCAGCCAGGTCTGTGGGCACTTGGTACCTGCTATGAGAGCCATATTCAGAAGTGTAGACTTGTGTGCAAGGGCCGTGCCCAGCAAATCCTTGGGCTTCCTGTCTTGAAGGTATGGATGTTTGAATCCAGCCAGGGGGAGATGGAGAAGTTGGGCTGAAGTGCAGGTTATTTCCCCAGTTCTTGTGTGTTTCCTCTACATCCGAATCTGCAGAGCAGCTTGGTAGTCCTTCCATTCTGTGCCAAGACGTGGTCTTTTGGGAAAACTATCCTGCTTTCCAGTAAGAAAAAGGAGTGATTTCTCTCACCTGAGAGAAACACTGGAGCTCTGGAGCAGCTGTGGGACGCAGGCTGCCGGCTGGATTCTAGCCCAAGCTGGGTATGGTCAGGAGTGATGAAAAGCATGCATGCCGTCTCTTTACTGGGGCAGCTCCTCCCCCTGCCCTTCTTGGTTGCCACATTTTTCTGCTATGGCCTTAAGCAGCAGTGAACTACAAAGACGGTTGCTGACACTGGTGGTGCCCCAAAAAGCCGCAGAAATTCCTCTCCCAGCTCTGGCTCATGTTGGGAAGAGGGCAGGCACTGAGAACAGAAGACTGGATAGGGCTCTGCTGTGCTTTAATTAACCAGTGCCAGTGTTATCCACGGAACCAGCAGCCCCTGCGTATGCTTCTCCCAGGGTGGCAGCGGCACCATGACCCAGGGAGTTGTGGTGATCAGGGGAGCCTTTGTTTTCCTGGTGTATCCTGCTCCGTCTGTTTATAGGAATCATAAAGTCTGAACCTGATTTGGCTCTGTGTGTTTGAGTGTCTATGTTGAGGTCGGAGCTGGTGTAGTTTTTTCCATGTTGTCCTTTGTGGCTGCACTTTGTTTATCCAATTTATTATTTTTGCATTTGTGCTGAGCTGGCATTTGATCTGCTCCTTACCGGGCTGCACTTGCTTGCCGGGGACTGAAAAATATCCCTGACCCTCTGCAGTGTACCTGCAAATGAGGGCTTAAGTCCTCTGCCCTCCACCAGAGAGGCCTCGGTGGAGCCCTGCCCAGACATCTCTATCCCCAGTGTTGGCTCTCTGCTAGGCTTTCTGCTCTGGCAGGGGTAGCAGTGGATTTTCAGTGCCTGAAGTAATTACAACAGTCCTTTCTTTACTGTGTCCTTGTACTTGAATGGTGGCCCCACTGATAATACTAAATAGAGGCAGTGGCAGCATTGTGGAGAAATGTGTGGGTCAGTGTTCCTCTAGGACTGAGGCTGGAGGTGACCTTGAAACTCTGTGTTTAATATGAATCAAAGCATCCTGTATCTTTGTAAGTTACAGACTTTGCTGTGACTGGTCTCCCCTCACCTTTATTGACCCTGAAAGAGCAAGGATGTGAGCATCCATAAAAGATGGTTTTAAGATTGAGAACTAGCCTCTAAGCTTTCAACTCAAAACCAACTCAATTTTTTTGGCAAATTCTAAGTAACCTGAATGAAAACACCCCCAATATTTTCAAAAGATGTGCTTTTCCAATGGGGCTGCTGGAGAAGAGTGGATCAGGACTCCCTTTTCTTCCTCAGTCCCAAACTGGGAGGCTGATGGCTTTCTCTTCTATGCAGATTTTCATGATCAATCTGAAGCGTCGAAAAGACAGGCGGGATCGGATGCTGCGGACCCTCTATGAGCAGGAGATTGCAGTCAAGATAGTGGAGGCTGTGGATGGAAAGTGAGTTTAGGCTGGGGCTGGTGTTTGCAAGGAGCGGGTTGTGCATAACTGCTTAACACCTTCTCCTTGCATGCCCTGGCCTCCTTTCTGGTGGGGAAGGGTGGGCTGAGGGGAGAGGTGAATATCGCTTGTATCTACCCAAGAGTCGGTTTGGGGCAGTTTTGCTCTCTTTCTTTCTTCTTTTGCAATTAGTCAGTTTCCATGAGAGAACCAGGGCAGGGTGGGTCAGACTAAGGCGAAAATGGGGTTAAAATCGTGCTGGTTTCTGTGAACTGTAGCGCTTGCACACAGTTCAAAGGAGTCAGCAGTAAAAGTGAGAGCAATTATCTCTTGGGAAGGGCGGCCACCCTAGCGCTGCAGAGCTGCTGTGTTACAGCATTAACCCTGGCGCAGCCCTTTCCGAGTCTACTCTAAGGTGTGTTAAGGCCTTTCCATAATGAGAAACCAAAGCAGAAACTTTTGCTGTGGGAGTTGCCAAAGGCCTCAGGGAGGTAGGAACCCACGTGCCATCTAGCGGTATTGAAGACTTCAGCACGCATCAGGACCTCTTCGGAAAAGTCTGAGCCAAGCACCTGCCGCGGTGATGGTTCCCCAAGAAGCTGTTAGCAGAGTTAAGGCTATGATTTGTTGGCTCGATTTAGAAATGTAAATCAGTAAGTTAATTTTTCTCGGGGTTTTTGAGTGAAACCAGTGCAGGCGTTTCTCAAGATAGAGGTTTTCTTTGAACATCAGCAACGTTTCCTGTGTTCTGTCTGTGTCTGACTTGAATTCAGTTTTCTTTTAAACGGTGACAGATGTTTTCTCTTTTCTCAGAGCACTTAATGCAAGTCAGCTCAAAGCTCTCAGCATCGATATGCTCCCGGGATACCGGGACCCATACTCTTCCAGGCCACTAACCAGAGGAGAGATTGGCTGCTTCCTTAGTCACTATTACATCTGGAAGGAGGTAAGGAATTTGCAGTTGCCTTGGTGTTCCCACAGGAAGGTGCAGGAGGGTGCTGAAGGTAGGCGCAGGAGGAAGGCACACAGCCAGTCCTAGGGCAGAGCATCAAGTACAGTGCTGGTTTCTGGAATTGTAGGATGGAACCATTTTCCTTGGTTTGTAAGGGATCAGGCATGGGCATTTTCTTGAACACAGTATTCAGCATTCTCATCTCTGCTTTCCATTTGGCAGCAGAGATGAATGATTTTTATCAGAGTATTTTCATGACTGTTTGCAAACCATCCAGTAGCCTGCTTGCAGCAAGTTTGTTTAGGAGAAAGGCAAGAAGGTTTTGAAGAACAAATGGTGTTTCAAAAACTTCCTCTTTTTGTCTCTTGTTCTGCATGTGGATTGAAGCAAGCTCCAGTGACTCTGCTGACTGGCGTTTTTGAGTTGGCATGTCATGAAGATGCTTAATAGTAGGCACCTATGTTACCTGAGCTAAGAGATCTTGGTTGGGTGATAAAAGCTTCCATCTGTTCCTGGTCACCTGGAGAGCAACTCTTGAGAGGATCTGGGCTGTGCTGGTCATAGATGCTGCAGTTACACAGCCCCACATCAGCGGGAGGGATTATTTCATGCACGGTGTGGCAGAGACAGGGAGAAAGACTTGGTACTGAAAGAAGACCGGGCAATGGCAATGATTACTCAGATGCAGACAGCCCTCTGCCTTGGGAGGTGTTAGTTGCAGCACTTCTCAGCAGGGCAGGGCACTGCTGCAAAGAGCGTAGAGCCAGCAGGGGTGACTTCAGTGCTGAGAAATCAGGCAGTGCAGCAATTAGATGATAATGGGGGAACCCACGTACAGGATGTCTTTGCACGTGTGTTCTTCAGGTTGTCAGGGCCAGACTCTGGATATGCTAGATTGTCCTCCTTCACAGACTTCACAAACACTTTCTCCTAAGAAGGAGTGTTTTCTGAACAGCAGCTTTGGCATCAAAGGCCGCTGCATGTTCCTCTGAGGAGGTGGTTGCTGTGCTCATACGAGATGGCAGCTCTTGGCTTCTAGATGGTGCGTGCGGCTTCAGATGGGGATGTGCCACTGTGATTGCTTCTGAACCTTTTGTTTTCAGGTGGTGAACAGAGAACTGGGGAAGACGCTTGTTATTGAGGATGATGTGCGCTTTGAACACCAGTTTAAGAGGAAGCTCATGAAGCTGATGGGTGACGTTCAACAAGCGCAGCTAGACTGGGAGCTTATGTAAGTAACTGTCCCTCAGCCACCTGGGAACTGCTGGGCACACAAGGGAGGTGAGCAGCGCGTGCTGTGTCATGGTGGAGATGCAGGTTAATGCTGGAGTGCAGGGGAAGGTGGCAGAGACTTCTCAGTGGCTCTTGCCGTCAGGACAGATCTGCCTTCTGGGGCAGGCTGGAAATGGCGGTGTTGGTTCAGTCCTGAGGTTTGGACCGTGTCATCTTTGATCGCTTGCGAAGTCTTTCACAGTTTTGGCACCCAGTGGGTTACGGCTTGGATGTCTGGGAGGGGTGCACGATAGAAATCTGTGGGCCTGGTCAGGGATTTCTTCTTGGATTGCCCCTTTGCCCTTTCTTGGTTGACGTGAATAGTCTTCTGGTCTTAGTTGCTTCATATTTACTTTGGTTTCAGTTTTCTTGTTTTTTTCACCCTTTAAGCTACATTGGCCGGAAAAGGATGCGGGTGCAAGAGCCTGAGAAAGCCGTTCCCAATGTCAGTAATTTGGTGGAAGCTGATTACTCGTATTGGACCCTGGGGTACGCAATCTCTTTCCAAGGGGCTCAGAAACTCATTGGAGCTGAGCCTTTCAGCAAGATGCTGCCTGTAGATGAATTTCTGCCGGTTATGTACAACAAGCACCCTGTGTAAGTAGTAAGTCTTTGTTGCTTATGTTGACGTGAGCTGAATCTTGCTAATATCCTTAAGCCAGATCATGTTGGTGTGTCTCACTTCTGTAGCCTGGTTGGTGGGAGACAGGGCTACTCGGGTTTTTTGGCTCTCTAGAGCAGAGCTCCTGGCACAGGTCAAAGGAGGTGACAGACCTGCTGCAGAGGGGTTATTGTCCACAGGCCCTGAACTGAGTAAGGACCGGTCCTGAGACACTTGGCTATCTCTGGTAACGAAGGTGTTGGGTGTATATGTTGTGTGTGGTTGTAAGGCGGGAGGTTCTGGCTGTAGAGAGTCAGAACTCTCTACTAGAAAGCCACCCAGCAACTACCTCCACTCCCTGGGATCCGTTTGCTTGGTGGGTTGGCTTGTATCTCTCAGTTATAAGCAGTGGCACTGGTGAACATTCACTCTGTTACCAGGGTGATTTTTTTCTCTCCTCTTTAGAGCAAAGTACATGGAGTACTATGAGTCCAGAGACTTGAAAGCCTTTTCAGCAGAACCCCTTCTTGTTTACCCTACGCACTACACCGGGCAGCCAGGCTACCTCAGTGACACAGAGACCTCTACAATCTGGGACAATGAGACTGTGTCAACGGACTGGGACAGAGGACACTCCTGGAAAGCCCGTCAGCAGGGCAAGATCCACAGCGATGCCCAGAGCAAGGATGCTCTGCCTTCCCAGTCACCTCTCAACGTGCCGTCCTCCAGGGATGAGCTATGACTGCCCGCTTCCCCTGGGACTCCGTTGACAGCTGAACCTGCCTCACACTTTAGCTTTTCACCCTTGAAAGTTGTAGAGCAGCTCTTCACGTGGCCTCCTTCCCACTGCTTTGAATAGCAAAGCACAGAGGTTGGACCTGCCAACCTTCTGAGCCGCGTAGGACTGGGTGGCAGATGAAGGAGGAGGAAAAGCAAGTGTTCCAGAGTGGCAGAAAAAAGGCAGAGATCTGAACAAAAGCCCTCACAAGCTTTTGTAAAAATCCCCAGCCTTGAACGATGTCTTTCTATAGTTCTTCAAGCAGAACACTGTATTTATAAAGATTAATATATAGAGGTGTACAAGTGTTAATACCTTTCTGGGTAGCTGTAACTGGGCTGCTGTGTAACTATAACTTCTTGTAGGTTTGCAGGCTTTTATAGCCCTGTGCACTGAGAGAAGCTGCAGGCAAGTATTTGGGTTATTTGGGTTTGGTTTTGGTTTTGAAACTGATCCCTGTCAGAATCCAGATGGTTTCCAGAAACGTTGAGTGCTCTGGAGCAGCGCTCCTCTGTAGCCTCTGCTCCCTCATCGCATCTCAAAAGAAAGCTGTTGCTAGCTTCCCCTCTGCAGACTTCAAAACTTGCTAGATCCCATCGAAACAGGCCTCCCAGCCCAGAACTGATGTCTTGGTGTGTCTGAAATCTTGGAAGCTGGATGGGAAAGTAGAGGGTTTACCTCTGCACTGCCTGAAGGGAGCACAGGTGGATCTAGGCGGTGTCATGTCCTGCTTCCTTCCCCATCTCAATTTATTTCTTCAGGAAAACAAAGCCTGGAAAACAACCTACTTGCAGACGTGTTTAATTAGGCCGTAAAGCCAAGCGCAGGACTTCTAGGATCTAAACAGTTTGTTTACGAACTGCTTGCACTATCCTGATAAAAACAAAACAACCTGCAGAAGTGTTTGCATTGTCAACCGTACTGTTCTCAACAGCTGTGATAGAATTGTGCACTGCAGCTCTATTAGGCACAGAGCTCAAGCTACAGACTGCTGTTGCAGCGTCTGGGTTGGTTGGGTTGGCTGGGTTTTGGTGGTAATGGTGGTGGTGTTTGTTTTTTTTTATGTTTTTAATAATTAGTGATCAGTGTTGTGCTTTCTGCTAAAGAAGACGTGTTATTACCTGTCAGCCGGTCTGATAATACATAGAACCTGGTGCAAGATGAGCAGCTGTGTGTATTCTTCATTGGGTGGGAGTAGCCCTGGCAGGGAAGGCCAGCTCAAGAGTTTTGCATCTGTGCCACTCTACCATGGAGTCACTGGCTGTATAAACGTGCCTGCTCCACAGCTACCACCTGGAAGCCATGTTCCTTCTGCTGTCCAGGCTGGAGCAGGTGCCCATGCGCCATGGTGAGTATGAATCATAGAATCATAGAATAGTTAGGGTTGGAAAGGACCTTAAGATCACGTGGTTCTAACCCCCCTGCCATGGGCAGGGACACCTCACCCTAAACCATGTCACCCAAGGCTCTGTCCAGCCTGGCCTCGAACACTGCCAGGGATGGAGCATTCACAGCTTCCTTGGGCAACCCATTCCAGTGCCTCACCACCCTCACAGTAAAGAACTTCTTCCTTATATCCAATCTAAACTTCCCCTGTTTAGGTTTTAACCCATTACCCCTTGTCCTATCACTACAGTCCCTAGTGAAGAGTCCCTCTCCAGCATCCTTGTAGGGAGCAGGTCTGCTGTGGGCCACCACACACAGCTTGGGTCATTCCTTTCTGACAAGCCCTCTTGCTTCCTCCTCTGATGTTGTTTTACGAGTGGCAAATCTGACCTGCTTGGAGCACGATGGCCATCCCAGAGATGTTGGTGAGAAGCTTGGTGTAGCCTTCAGAAGCAGGACTTCTGTGAACTGGTAAGCATCCAGCATGTTGTCAGGTGTCAACGTGGATATGAGCATGATGTTACTAAGCTGGCCCATCACATCAATGCTTCCCTTGTTGGGACTGGGGCATGGGTCATGGCAGTTTACATTTTGCAGTGTAGCTGTTTCCCCAAGCCTTCAGTAATGCTGTCTGAAGGCTGGCAGCTGCTGGAGCTGTGGTGAGAAGGGTGCGCAAGAGGAGCAGGACCTCAGCTTGGCACAGCACATGGTAACGTGCATGTGCATCTGAGTCTATCGGAACAGGAGGGATGAGCCAGCATGGGTGGGTGAGCTCCTTTGGCCTGGAGTCATTTCTCCGATTCAGTACTGTGACTGCCTCTCCATGTTAAGGCTCCTTGCTGTGTTCATATACATTGCTCATATTCATATCTCTTCCACCCTCATGCGCTTTTTCTTCTGTAATAGACCAGCTCTGTGTCTGGTAGAGAGGCCTCTCCCTTATCCCAGCCATGGGAGTTAATTTGCCTGTGTCAGCCTGAGCTCTGGTTTTAGCAGCCCTTCCTCTTGTGACCTTTCGTGAAGCCGTTGAAGCAGTTTCTTCATAAACATCTTGGCTGAAAAACCCCTGGTCCTTCTCACAGTACTCCCTGCTTTGTGCTGGGGGCTGGAGAGGGAAGGGACTTGACACCGTAGGGGGTGAGTGTGCCATCGCCACTCCCAGAGCTGCTCACCGTGCCCGGGTGCCTGCGGGCCGGGGATGTGGTCTGTGGCACAGGCTGACAGCTGCCCTTTGGTCTCTTCCCCAGGGAGGTGGGGAGCACCACTGTACTGGCCATGCAGGAAAAGATTAAAAGGAAAACACAAAAAGGGCTTTTTTAAGCTTAATGTAGTTCATTCAAAGAATAAAAGGTTAAAAAGGTCTCTGCATCACTTGCACAGCCTTCTGTACTGATGCCACCGGGCTACCCAGCCTTAAAGCACGTCCTGCAGATGTGGTGGTGGCAGGCACCCAAGGCTGGATGTGTCTGGCACTGACCAACAGGTAAAGCTGCTGTTTGGACACATCCGCCCCGTCGCCTCGTGTGGGCTGGAGCTGCCCAATGCCCTGTGTGGTGTATGATGTCATGGACTCCACGGAGTTACAGAATGGTTTAGTTCACAAAGTCGCTCGATTATATACTTTAAGCTTACAAGGGTGTTATGACAAATAAACAATAAAACCCCGCCACACAAATATTCCTCTACAGGTTCTTCAATCACCATTTTTCACAACCATTTCCTTGTTATTGGTTCTAGCTGATACGTGCTTTAAAGGTAGCAATCTATGTTACTGCTTAAGCAATCATCGCTCTTACAGACTGTGTTTCTTTTTACGACTAGGTAGCGGTTAAGCACAAGGTATCTTCTGCTCCCAGAACTTCCTGCTTGAAACAGTCTGTGAGGAACAAACATTATTTTTCTCCTCGGTCTGCTTACGCCAGCACTTTCTGGTTAGGCTCGCATGTGCAGCTGCATTGTGTTCTTAAGATGGTCCTCAACAGCCCTGCTCTCAGGAAATGATGCTATCACGGAGCTGGTCTGGATGCTCAGGGAGGCTGAGTTTCGTTAACTTTGATTTCCTGAAGTAGAGCAGTACCAGTTTATTAAAAGCACCTTGACAACAGCATTGAGGTGGGTTTTGTTGCTTTGGGGTTTCTTTGTGTGCGTGGTTTCTTTCTTCTAGATGACTCTGGGAGTGAGCGGTACAAGGGGCATGATGGCGGTTTCAGGGCAGGAAGGACACAGCTAAAGAATACCTGAATTAAATGAATACGTCAGTTTCAGAGCGGATATGGCCTCCATCCAGCTGCTTGTTTTTCTACCTATCTGCATAGCTGTGTGCACATACAGACAGAGTTTTCATATGCAAGACCCAGCGGATGGCCAGTGGTTCCACCTGCTAATTTGCCCTGTCTGTGTTTTTAGTTCCTTGGCTGGTGTTGCCCAGGCTTTGCCCTACTCAGAATTAATTGTGTTTAGGAAAAGTAGGAGCCAGCTAAAACGCTTCTGTATTTGTCCATTATTGTTCCACTTTCCGTGGCTGGGGTTTTGGGGGGTTTGCTTTTCTGATCGTTTGTTTGTTTGTTGTTTTTAACACACAGAGCGGGCTTCAGAACCGAGGGCAAGGAGGAGCTGGGGCTTGAACCAGCCTTCAGGCTCTGGTGCAAACGCTGTTTGCTGTGCGCAGGGCAGGGACTGCACTGGCCTGGGTATGGTGAAGCACAGGCACCCAAAGGGTGTCCCCTCTGAGCCTCCTGCAGGTTTAGCACCCGCAGCCCAAACGTGAAGGTGCCTTGTGCTGTGTGTAGTCCTGCACTTGCTCAGACACCTTGGAAACGAGTTTGCGTTAGCAGAACTTAACAAGGGGAAAGTAAGAATTTGCCAGGCTGCTTCATGATGCACAGAGGGCTCCTTTTCCTCCTTCCCCCCTCCTTTTGGTATGGGGTTTTTGCTCTGCTGTGGAGCATGAGAGCTGAAACCCAGGAGCCCCCACCTGATGGATATAAACACCCAGCAAGTGCCTACCCCAGTGAGTCTGGTGACAGAGCAGTGGAAGCTAGCAACAGGCTTCACAAAGTCTAAGTAGCAAGCCAGCTGACAAAGCAGCTTGTTCCCAAGAAAGGTTATGGCGACAGGCCCCAAAAATGATTATCTGCAAGAAGAGTGCTTGCAATCTGGTAACTCTGTCTTTGCCCTTGTTTAGAAAAGGACAGGTGGCCGTGTACTCTCAATATGGCAATATGGAATTCTTAGTTCACAGATAGATCATATTTATCCTGAAGGAAATTGAGTAAGGTTGTGTTGGTTTGTTTTGTATCCCTAGGAAAGATCAAGAGGCAGCTTAAATTCAGTGTAATCTTTCTTCTTGGCTTTGCTGTTGTAACATGAAAGGCAGCTGACAGTCATATTGAAAGTCCTGGCAAAGGCAACTGCCATAGTTCAGGGGCTCGGTGTGACTTTGGCAGTTTTAGGAGTCTCCCCTAGTGCTGAAGTGACTTGTGACTGGCAGGTCACCTGTGTGAGAGGTCTGAGGGGAAGAGGGACTCTGCTAAGAGGTAGAATAAGCAGCTGTGCTGTGTAAACTCAAACCCTTAGTATTGTGTGCAGGGGAGGGGAATAAAACCCAACAAAGTAATGGCTGTGAGGCCAGGAGGGGAAAATGCCGTGATGGGGTCAATGGGGAAAAGATGCAAACACTCAAAACCATTTTATATTTATTAACTTGCTGTAGAAATCATTCACTGCACCAAAAGAGAATAATTTCATGAAGAAGCAGTTGTAAAACTTGTGTATTACCTCAGATGCCCAGTTAGCTGCAGCAGAAATCATTAAACTGCAAGCTCAAAAAAGAGCACAAAACATTCCAGAGCAGTAGCAGGTTGGTGTGCACAGCTGATGCATTGGGATGTTTTTTACTTTGCTGACGTTTAGCTCTCAACAAGCTCATTGCACTCTTGCAGCGTGCAACTGGACTACACAGAGCTCATGTTAAGCTGCTGTGACTCGATGGGTAACACAGGTGAGACTGTGTCTGGGTTTAGCAATGGCAGTCGTTTTTTCTCTTTCTTGGTAGCTGGTGCAGTGCTGTGTTTTGACTTTCAGCTGGGAACAGAGCTGAAAACAATGATGTTTTGGTTTGGCCAAGGACTCTGTGGGCCTCATGCTCTGCCAGGGAGGAGGGAAGCTGGGAGGAAGCAGAGACAGGACACCTGACCCAAACTGACCAAAGAGGTATTCCATACCACAGGACGTCATGCCCAGGATGTAAGTGGGAGTTACCTGGAAGGGCTAGGAGGGACTGCAGGGTTGGAGGAGGTATCGGTCGGTGCTTGGTCGGGCTGGGGGGTGAGTTATCGGTCGGCTGGTGATGGGGTGTTGTATTCTCTTCCCTTGTTATTTCCTTTATCATTACTATTATTGGTGGTAGCAGTAGTGATTTGTGTTATACCTTAGTTACTAAACTGTTCTTATCTCAACCCGTGGGAGTTGCATTCTTTCTGATTCTCCTCTCCGTCCCTCCAGGAGTAGGGGGAGGGCAAGAAAGGGGGGGGGAGTGGGTAACAAGCTGTCTGGCTGTGGGTTAAACCACGACAGTTCTTTTTGGCGCCCAACGTGGGGCACGAGGGGTTGAGATAACGACAGATCTGACTGTCACAATGCTGATTTATTGGCTCTCAGAGTTGTTCCTCTTGATCTCACAGCTTCAGAATGTTGTAACTTACTTAGAGCCGGTATTTGCTGTGTTAGTGTTTATCAAGTGTGGGGCTTGGGCTAAGGTTCCTGTCTCACTGT